AGTCGACCCAACATGGTAGAAGGTACCTTATCGACAGCCATGTGTTGCTTCGTCTAAGAATATCTTACAGACATGGGTTGGTGTTTATTTAAGGGGATAGATATGAATCCACCTTAGATGATAGAGGGCTTTATGCTTGTCGAATATACCCTATGATTCATTACTCAAGGGTTTGAAGCGTTAGGGAATTAATGGTGTTATTTTATAGGAAAACTCATAGTTGTCAATGGCGCAAAATAGCGCGCGCCATGGCGCACGGTGCGGCGCGACGCACCTACGACGTCATGTTCATGGCGAGGTGTATGTGTTTAAAATAGCGCGTGCTATTTGCGCCACATGTGAGCCATGGCGCATTGCGCACGGTGCAAAATAGCGCACTAAATTGTTTTTAAATTTCCGTAAACTTATGAATATTTTTTATATTTAAAAATATATCTATATTTTAAGATAAACGACTATTCATTGCCATAATTTCACGAAAGATTTTCTGTTTGCTGCATCCGTCGAACACATCCCACAGTCCCTAAGTCGAGGTCGCTGAATCTATCTCGAAGTCGAAGGTTTTTTGTTTTCTATTTGCTGCATTTGCTAATTCCACCGAATCCAGCCGAATCTGTCTCAAAGTTGAAGTCGTTGTTTCCGCCAAATCGTCCCGCAGAGCAGTGCTTCTGCCAAATCCGCCCCTCCTTCGTATGTTCCAATAAAAAATCTTACCAGCTGACTCTGATTTGCAACCTCTGTCTGTTCCGCACAGCTCTGTTGTTTTGCACGGCTATTTCTTACAAGAATTTAGAACTTAACATGTATGCTCGGTACTGTTAGGTACATGCTCGGTACCGCTAAGTAAATGCTCGGTACCGCTACGTATATGCTGGATACCGCTCGGTACCGCTAATTACTTGCTCTGTACCGCTCAGTACAGCTCGGTACAACTAGGTACCAGCTATGTAAATGCTCGGTACCGCTCGGTACATGCTCGGTACCACTAGTTACATGCTTTGTACCACTCGGTACAGCTCAATACAACTAGGTACATGCTCGATAAATGCTCGGTATTGCTAAGTACATGCATGATACCGCTCGGTACTGCTATGTAAATGCTCGGTACCGCTCGGTACATCTCAAAAGCGCCATACAACTAGGTCAAACCCCGCTAGGGGGCAGCGCCCCCTTGGACCCCCGGTAGCCCCCATATTATGTTTCATGGATAATATTATGTTTCTTTTATCTAAATTTGTTTACTTTTAGGTGATCATAAAATGTCAGACAAGGAGCTCCCAATTTACAAAGCTTTGTTATCAAAGTCCTAAGCTTAACATGTAGTTCATCTGGATACGAACGCAATTGGAGTATTTTTGAACATGTAAGTATTTTACAATGTATGTGTTTATTTTTTATATATGTTCATAATATAGTAATGTAATAATATTTTAATTGCAGCTTCATAGCAAACGAAGAAGCAAATTGGATCATGGTCGCTTAAAGGATTTAGTTTATGTGAAATATAATAGAGTACTGATTCGGAGATTCAATCATCGTGATGTCATTGATCCTATTTCTTTGACTGAGATAGATGATGCAAATGAATAGCTAACAGGAAAATTAGATGATGAGTCTGATGAAGAAAATGACTTTATTGTTGGAGATGAAGATTAACTTGGACAAGTGTTGCTAAAGCTACTGATGTTTATGATAAAAGCTATAATATTCGGGAAAGATCTAAATGGAAAGAGAAAGAATCTTCAATTAGGCATGATGCTGCTGTTGAGAATGATGATGAGGAGGGTGATGAAGAAGATTATGAAGTATGAGACAATGTTGAAGAAGATAATGAAGCTTTTTTAACATTTGCTGATGATGATGATTCCCAAGAAAAGTAGATTAAATTCATATTTGATCTTTTAAAAAAAGATTGTAATATTTGAATTATGAGATATTTGAATGTTATATAGTCGAACTTATATATGTTATGGTTGTCTTTTATTATTATGATAGCTTGTTTTTTATTTTTAATAATATTTCATATTCATGCTTATTATTTTATTATTTTTATATAGCTTGCGTCATGTTCAAAATAGCGCGCGCCGCGCCGTGCGCTATGCGCCATGGCTCCAAATAGACCTTTGCGCCATGGTGCGCCATTCACCGTTAACAGGTATGGGAAAACCACCCGATCAAAGGGCACGTGCCACGATAATAAACCTTTTTTGAATAATTGATCGTACAATACCATGATAAGTTGTACAATATGATTAGTAAAAAATATATCTTAAATTTTCTCACTCCCCTTGTGTGTGTACCCGGTCATCAATTACATACAATCTTATGTGGAAAGACTCAAGAAATAGAAAATTATAAGAAAATTAAAATTATAAACTTTTTAACTTGACATCCTATTTTATCCAAGCTTGAGTCTTCAGTGGTCATGAGCGGTGTATGTTTTTCCTAAAATATTAATATGCACAGATAAAAAATAATATCCAATATTTATGCTAAGAGAAATAAAAAATCAATTAATAATATTTTTTATCATCAAAATCACACGTTAAAGATCCTGGATAACACCATATGGTGTCTTCTATTAGGTTGGGTCGACTACCTCCTCTGACTAAGTAGACCAGGGATCATAATAGTTTGTGACAATAGAACCATGTGATCTTGATCAGGCTTGTCTTCATTTTCCCCATCACCTGTTTTAATTATCTAGTGATAAATTTAAAAATAAAAAAAAAAAAATCCAAAATTCAAATTCAAACTTTAAAATTATTACTATTATATGCTGTGTTTGTAACCTATGTGACCTATCTTACGACTAGTCTTAATTGAAAGTTCTCTCTAATTATCGGGAGGTTTAATTAACCATAGGGGCTTGAGCCTATAGGAAACAAGAACTCATATTATAACGTCCTCACAAAATGAGGGAGAGATCTTTGGGTAGTGTCTTATCTATAAACTCAATCTGCTTTTTAAAAATTTACCCCAAAACTTACTCGTTGAAACTCTCCCCCGCATAAACAAAAAGGAAAGAGCTAGCGCAGAGAGGCCGGTGCATGGAATCTTTGGAGCCCACATTATTTGGCAATAAAGTGACCCGCTTCTTCTTCTTCTTCTTCTTCTTCAACAGTGTTCACCAACACGTTTACATTTTTTAGCAACCTTGTGAGTCCGCCTTTATTACCACGGGTTGAGCTCGAGTTCGAGCTCGTGATTTAATTGATGAGCTGACTTAGCCATGACACAAGTTCGACTCAACTCATTTTCACCAGTAATCCGACCTAAAACCAATTAACATTAAATATGTTTCTCAATTTTTTTGCCAAGAGCTTTATGATCCATTTTCCTCTTTGTATTTTAATTATTGTGTCAATCTTCTATACGTAACTTTAATTTTTTACATTCAAATAGGTGAATTAGCATTAATTTTATTCACAAATTTACCTATATCTTTGCCTTTCCTTCTACTTGTAAATTTCTTTTATTTATTCACAAGAATGAAGTTTAAATTTTTTTTGTAAACAATGTCATATAATAATTACTTAATGATTCCCCTTCACTATTATTTAATTCTTATATTCTTAGAAATATTTGTTTCTCCCTCTCTTTGTCTATACAACTTTTAATTATTTATCATATCTTTTGCCCGCAAAAAACCTATTTAAAGGATCAAGGGAATAATTTAATAAATATTTATCTTCAAAATTAATAATAACATTGACATACCAAGACAAACAAACATATAAGAAATTTATTTTTTTAGCATTTAAATATTTTCCCTAAGGAATGTAATTGAGTAACTATCTTGGCAAACTTGGTGTTCATTTCAGTGATAGTTTCATTAGGATCAAGCAAGATAGTTGGTAGTTTAAAATAGAAATATTAAATAAAATTATTTTACCTTAGTAGTACCTTCAAAAGTAATATTTTATCTATCCAAAATTTATATGCTATTGTTATATGAATACAGACACAATCATCAAATTTAAGTGCACAAATGTGTTAAAATCATTTTTCGAATAAGGTTGACCACATTCATCTCTGTACATAGCTTTCTTTAATAGATAATCTTCCTTTAGCATGAACCCTCCTTATATAATCCCTTATGTAGATTCATAAAGACTTATCAATTGCTTGCTTTAGAAAAACCCAAACCTTGGACTTTGCTTTTCTAGTCTCAGAAGTCTTGGAATTAATTAAAAAGTTAGTTATAGGTAGCCTAACTTTTTTAGGAGTACCTAGAACCAAAGATAAAATTTATTAACATAGGTGGTACCGTGGTATCCATAAGAGCTCTTGACTTAACTTGTGCAAAACCAACCTTATATGGCCCTCTTAGCCTTGAATAAGCCTTATTGACCTTTAATAAATGCTATGATTTTAGAAGACTAATTATGATTTTATTCAAATTCAAATAAAGCCACACAAAATTATCTAAATCAATGCAATTCAATCCAAAATCAAACCATATAGTTGCCTAGGTCTTTCCTTCGAACTATGAATCCTATAAATAAGGTTAGCCCTAACTTAGCCTAGCTGGTACATGGACCCTTAGGAGTCTACCCTAGCTTCTTTTAAACTAATTCAAAGCCTTTTCAACCATTGCAAGCCCCATTATAATAGTTTGAACTTAAACCCAAAACCTTGAAACCTCAATCTGTCCATAAGTAGATCTTTGGTTTCAATTGGCCTAGCCCTTGGCCCAATCAACCCAAATGTTGTCTAAAACCAAGTTCATGATGTCGGACACTTATTTCTATCCAATATAAACAAGCATTTTTTAAATATAAAGATTAATGAATTATTATTCAATAAATAAAAAAATTATGAATACTTCCACATGATTTCAATCATTTTATGGGGATTTCTCTCCTAATAATATTTAATGTTTGATCCAAAATTTTTTTGACTTCCAAATTCATTTAAGTGGTAAAACAATGAACCTTAATTTTCTAGTTACCAAGTTACCCTATCCCAATTGACTTGGCCCTTCTTTCAATGTTTATGGTTTCGGCTCTTGTAATTTGGGAATTCCTTTGCCCTTTCTTATTTCATCCAGCTCTAGGAGTATCTCTAGTTCCTCAAGCTGGCTACCTTTGGTGCTTTTTGCCTCTAGCTGGTAACGTGTTGGGTGCCTAATCTCCATCTTTCATGGCGGCCTCTTCCTCTTGCAAGGATTAGGAACTAATGAATGGAGCTACAACTGGTTTTCTTGTTGACAATATTAGGAAACCTGCTGTGACTGCTCTTCATGCGCCAAGGTCTCTTAAACAATCTAATGTTTTATCGTCTTTGCTCTTATTTTCATTGACAATCAGATTGGATTCCTTTCTCATCTAAATTATGTTCTTACAGGAAATTTATTCTCTGGAGGCCATATATTAATATTATTTACTCCTTATTCTGAAGCTTTCTGGTATCTGTTGGTCTCCAAAATGCCAAGTATATTATCATTAAACTTTCTAATGACATGGATTAGTGTTATATTTTCTACCATCGAGCCTATTGTATCGATAACTGTATGAGCCTATGGCGTTGATAACAGGCAAATGAGACTCTTTAAATAGACGCTTTACTTTGATATTTAGGTGAATCTCTTCTTGTCCCTGTTTAGTTGGCTCTCCCTGATCTTATTAGACTTTCTTACTTTAACCCTCATGTTCTTCGTCTTATTGCTTCCATCTTTTGAAGGCCTTTGCAAATTGATCAAGCCACGACATCAACTACCTAGCACTCGGTTGCTCGTGTTTTAATTGAGCTGGATATGCCAAACAATTTGATGAAATCTGGTTGGAGATGGAATCTAATGTTTACATCCAAACTATTCAATTTGAGAACCTACATTTTTCTTCTCTTATTGGAAGATTCACATCACTGAAATCAATAATGCTTAATCTTACACCCTGAGCTTATAAAAAAATAAATTTAAACCTTCCACTAAACCATTAATAGAACTCCCCAGCAATTTACCACTTAACCAATCTATACACGCTATTAATTTTGATGCCCTAAAGCCTAATTTTGATTCCCTTGTGGATCAAAAAACTGTTGTTTCATCCAATGGTCAAACACCAACCAACTCCCTCTCCTCCCATTTTCCATCTTACATTGTTAATACTAATATTATTCTTATTGCCGCTGAAGCTGTGACTGAAAACAGTCATTCTGAGACTCAAACGAATCAATCAAATTTGGCTAAGGATGATTTAGTTCATGATATTGCTATTGTTTGCACTAATAATACTGTTTCTTAGACATGTGAATGCAAATTTTAACAAAATGTAGGAAATGCTTTTTGAAGAAAATCCTCTTAACCTGCATGTTTCACATCAATGTAAATCTCTATAAATATAGGTCATATGTGATGTATTAAATTGAAGAAAATTAAATAAAACTTTAGGTTAGTTTTCATCCTAAAAAATTTGTCATCTCTTATCTCTCTCTGTCTTGCAAGAAGGCTTAAGAAGCTCTTAAAAACTCCTCCCAATTTCTAGCAAATGGTATCAGAGCCATGTGGAGGTGATTGACAAGGAGGAAGGTACTCTTGAGGTGTATCAAGAAAGGGTTTGGCCGTGGCAAGCACGCGGTATAGGCGATTCGTGTTTGTGGAGGCGGACATGCAGCTTTTGGTTTGTAGGGCGTGTCTAGAGTGGTGCGGGCTTGTGACATTTGAACAGAAGCAGTGATCACGTGTGGTTCGAGCACGCGAGGCGGGAACGTGCAAGGCGCGTTGTTGCACAGGGTGGCAAGCGCGTTGGGTTGTGGCCCGCGCGGACAAAAGCTTGTGGCCGGAGGTTTGCACAGGAGTTCGGATGTCATAGGTGGAGTGCGGAACTAGGCTGGCGTGAGATGTAGGCTGGGTCACTGATTGATCTAGCGAGCCAGAGCAAGCAGGGCCATGGAGCACAGGCCGAACCTGTGCAGATCAAGCTACAGGCAGCTGGCAAGCTCGGTCACTAGATTAGGTGCCTTGCACAAGCTATCTAGTCGGAATCAGTTCAGTCGCGAGTGCGGGTTCTTGAATTGGTCGGAAGAGGAGGAGGTTCGCATTGTTCGGGACAGACATGGCATCCAGATCGGATGTCGGGACCGGTTGGAAGTAGGAATCTTGTTCTTGATTAAAGATTCGTTTAGATCTTTGAGTTGGAGCTGCTAGGTTACATTGCAGGTAGATCGGCTAGCGGTGTCGATTGGATTTGGTGTCAAAGTTGCAGAGAAAAAAAAATAGAGAAGCAAGAACCTCTAGATGGTAATATGGTCGATAACTTGGAATCGGATTGGTGGATTGTGCGGAGTCGCAAGTTGGAGCATGCATAAGTGTTCGGGGCAGTCGGTCTAATTGCAATAAGCGCGAGTTCTTGTGACCTGGTGGTTCTTTGTTTTTTATTTGTAAAACTAGATTGTTATGAATTGATTTAGTTTTAGATTATTTTATTCCGGCATGTTTTCACATCAATGGAACTCTCTATAAATATTGGTCATATGTGATGTATTAAATTGGAGAAAATTGAATAAAGCTTTAGATTAGCTTTCCTCCTAAAAAATCTGTCATCCCTTCTCTCTCTCTCTCTTGCAAGAAGACTCAAACAGCTCTCAAAAACTTGTCCCAATTTCTTACGGGTATGGCTTATGATAACCTGAATTAGAAATTTCTCTATAACGTTTTATCCCTCTTTGGCTTTAATGATTGGAGCCTCAAATTCCCTGCAAATTCTGTTGAATTTTTTTGTTTCTTGCCTATTATCAAAGCCATATATCATTGATTTATTAAATCTATATATGATCTAAGACAAGGGGATTTCATCTCCCCTGGGCTTTTTGTTATTGCTGCTGATTATTTTTCCAAAGGGCTTATTTTTTCTCTTGAACGTACTCCTTGTCTAGCTTTTGAGAACATGGGACAGTTATATTCTATCTCAGTTTTGCTGATTATATTATAATTTTCATAGATGGTTCCATCTCAAAGGTTAAAATCTTGAGAAAACTTTTACCTGTCCTTGAACTTGAAAGTGGTCTTCCCATTAATAATTCTACAAGATGTTTCATTCCTTCGAACGGCTTACCTCAAAACATGATTAGTGAGAATCCTGCTATTACAAGTTTTAAATGTAAATATGTAGCATATTTATATTTTGGTACTCCTATTTTAAATGGTAGAAATAAGTGCTTTCTTTTGAATATCTCGTCCAATCTAATCCTTAACTAAATATCTATTAGGGAATTCAAATTTCTTTCAGTGGTGGGGGGCTTGCTCTAATTAAGATTGTCCTTTATTCTCTCCTTATTTATCTCATTCAGACCATTAAGCCTACCTCCTATTCTTGTAATAGATTTCATAGACTTTTTAATAAATTCTTCTTGGGTTTGAGCACTATATTACAAAAATTTACTGGTCCTCTTAGCTCGAGTGTTGCAGTACTCCCAAGAAACTGGCTCCTGCCATAAAAGTATATTTGGCTCGGTGAATACTTTCTATTTTAAATTTTGGTGAAATTTCAGAAAGTGTGATAGCCTTTGGGCTACTTTTCTAATGAAAAATATTGTAAAGGAAAACACCTAACCATTTGCTCCTACAAATTGAGAGATTCTCCTTCTTGGAAACAGGTTTCTTCTATCAAGTGGGCCATGATGGAGTTAATTCAATAGAGCATTAGCCGTGGTTGCTCATTTTTTTGGCTGGTAAACTTGTTCGGTTTGGGCTCTATTGATAGTTTGCTTTGCACTCGTTACTTTTTTTTTTTCATAAAAGTTTAAATTATTCTCTAATGGTTTTTAGGATGTCATCAAACATCAAGTGAATGCCCCAGAATTCGTAGTGGACCTCAATCTACCAACACCATTTTTGAGGCTAACAATGACTTTATAAATTTTCAATGCTTCTTAAATTCTATGTTAGATAACTTTGAAGCGAAATATGCTGATGGATTCCCAATTAAAAAAAAAATGAAGTTTGATGATGCCTTCTTAATGCCATTGTTGTTATCATGAAGAAAGTATTAAGCATGTCTTTATAAATCGACCCATTGCGGCCATGGTTTGGTTATGATGTGAAATTATCTTCAGAAATAATATTTTTGAATTTAGTGCTTCCTGTTTTAGCCATCTTTTTGTTCTTGGTTCAAGTGCAATTTATCTGATGCCAAAGGTGTAACACCCCACAGTATCACTATATTGTACTATAGAGTGTAACAAGAATCACTATAACATTTTCATCATTTACCTCTCATTTCTGTTGAGTTCATTTCAGATCTAAATAAAAGATCATATAAATATCATTTGGAATAACAAAGGAAGCATCTAATAATTCCCCAAATTTCATCACATCAAAGACTTTATACAGAGCCACTAATGAAATCTAAAACAATTCAAAGTATTACATCATTAAAAAAGTTTACTAACCTCAAGAATAGATTTTAAAATTTAAATAAACATTGACATAAAACTTAAATACTTGCTTATCAATCTTCCTCCACTTTTTTTTTTCCTTTTCCTGTAAAAACAACAAGTAAGAAATAAATGGTGAGCTATGAGGCCCAACAAATTATGTAATCTAAATCACAATTATAATATGACTAAAGAAATAAACTAAAGCACTGAAGTCATAAATCATTAAACTCACTTATTAATTATAACAACATCATAAATCTTAATTAGTATTATTCTTTACCTCTTTGAAGTTATATTGAATATCAAATTAAATATGTAAAAGATTTGGCTATGCATTCAAAATAATATTCAATGGAGCTCAAGTAAACATGTCATTATCATCATTGAATTATATTGAGGTCCCTTTTGCCTCATTAAGGGTCCCTTTTGCTCCACCTGCTATGCAGGTATCTTTTTTTTGGGTCCCTTTTGTCCCACCTACAATACAGGTTTATTAATTGGGTCCCTTTTGACCACCTGATATTGCAGACATCACATCATAGAATAATCAATCTTTACTTTTAACTTGATATTCCTTACATCATACCTTCATAATTCATATTTATTTTTAATGGTTGTAACCTTCAAGTATGCTTATACTCATACATTTGGTGTATTAAGAATTTGATAGTACCTAAGTAAAAGAAAACTTCTTTGCATAAAAAAATTATTTATTAAGAAAAGGCTGAAATAAATACACTGAAACATCTAACAAACCTTTCTTATTCTCAAGAATAGATAGCTGTGAATACCCCAATGTTTTCTAATGATGATAATAAAATTCTCATAAGACATTTCATTATAATAAAATTTCAAAGCATAAAGGATAGACTAATCATTCATAATCATTACAATTAGAAATAATTACATAACTTACTTTCCTCACGAGTGGTCTCTTCAAAACCTACACCGCGAAGCCTTTTCCTTTGATACACTCTCCCAAAACCTTCTTTCTGAATAAATTCAAATAATTCCAACATCATTGATACTCATTTCGAAAGTTAACTTTTATATATATATATATATAAAGAATTTACTACCAAAAAAAATAGTAAATACATACCTAACTTCCCTCTTAACTTTCTTTCAATCCACTGCTTCTTCAATTAGTTCCTTCCCCTACAAGCCATTACAGAAATTCACCTTAAACATAACCAAATCTTTGCCACAGTTTGCTGTTCACTGTTTTCCAAATTCCTTTGCACCCATACATCAATTTACAATCATCATATATTCTATATTAATTACATTCAAATTTTTGATAAAAGGTTTTTAAATACCGTTTAAATTACTGCTTTTGAATTATTCAGTTATGCATAACTTGCTCTTCCTTACTCTCTTGAATCCAAGCACTACCAAGCTCCCTTAAGGAATTCCAGCAACTATGCTGAAATCATCCATAAGCAGTCACTCTGCCGAAGCCAACAAGGAATTTCCAAGAATATTCACAATCCCACAAGCAGAAAATGTGTCGAATGGAGAACAGGGAACTTCAGCACTGTGCCGAAAACCCCACTGATTTCCGCTTCCTCCTACAGAATTTTGTGATATTTTCTTCTGCACAGTTGCGGCAAAGTTACTGTTTTCTTCGCAGACTTCCGAAATTGCTACAGTACCCGCCTGCTGTTTAACCAAACCGGTGAACAGGCCCGCGACACTGTAGCTACGGTGCTTTCTGCGATCATTCAGAAATTCCCTGTTTGCGAACTGAAAACTCCACCGTAACACTTCTGAGCATTCCGATCAAAGATAAGGATAGAGACGTGGACCACACTCCAAAACTACTCTCTCATCTTCAAACCAAAGGTAGCATCCTTTCAACAAAAATTATTTAATTTCTAATTAAATAATCTACTTAAATTATAATACTGTTACCAAAGTTTTCATAACAACAAAAATTAAAATGTTATTTAAACTGATTAATACCTGACAATTTGGATATTACAAAAGGCCACATTAAGATGGTTGTTCCCATCCTTATCTTGTAGTATATTTGGCTTCAGCTGAATGATGCCAAATTAAAAATGCAAAAATGGGTTTGTTAGGATCATTTTGAGGATCAATAAGAAAGTTGAGCTATTATTTAATGCTAATCTCCTTAACCAGAGGTTTTCAAAATCCATCTTTGTTGATGATTACTTTCACATAATTCTTAAGGAATAAAGGCCGGTTAAAATATATCAACTCATTCGTTGGCCTAAACCTCCATGAGGCAACATAAAAATTAATATGGATTGTTCTGTCATGAATGACAATTATGGCTGTGGGTGCTCTTCTCAGGGATGATAGAGGGTCCTTTTGTGCTGGTCATGCCTGTATTCTCTAAAAATGCGCAATTTTATCCGATGAACTATTGGCTATGTATTAAGCTCTTAAAAGGTGCATCGATCTTAACATTTTAAGTATTTGGATAGAGTTGGATTCGCTGTGGATAATTCATATTGTTATAGATGAAGAAAAGGTTTTAAGAATGTTAGGTTATTTTATTTGATCAATACTATCAAATACTTTCTAATTCTCATTATATTGTTTCCAAACTATGATGCACTGAAACTTTTTCTCAAAGAGTCGTGCAGTATTGAACACGGCACACATCCGACACGTGTAGGGCATGCCGAAAATGTGTTTAATTAAAAAATATTAAATACAAATTGGACGCTACGTTCGACACGCGTGTCTTAAATATTTTATAAATTTTTTAAATATAATTTATTATATTTATGATTTTTATTTATTTAAAATATCTGACATACGTGTCTTAAATATTTTAATTTTTTTAAATATAATTTATTATGTTTAAAATATAAAACTAAATTTCTTATTGCCTATCCACAATATCAAATCAATTGCATACACTCAATACCCGATTCATAAATATTCTCATTTTTATTTCTCTTTGGCGGATCGCGACTTTGGTTTCACGACACTGACCGATGTCATCTCAACATCGACGTCTAACATCATTTCAACATCGGCATTTCAAAACCATCTCAACATCAAATTCTGTCACTGTTTTGACATTGATGCTTGACGCTAGCAATTTCTACATCCACAACTTGACAACTCATCTTTATCCGATGTCTTAACATCGACGACCAATACCCTTTCAATATCGATGACAGACGCCCTCTTGACATCAATGCCCGATTCTTATTGCATAACATCGATGTCTGACTCTCGACAATATTGTTGTCTTCTCTCTCGATGCATGATACATGACATCGATGCTTGACTCTTGACATCCTAATATTAATCATTTCAGCACAAATTTTAATTAAATGATTTATTATTTTATTTTTAATATTATACTTATTCAATTTTTGTACATTATTTTTAAAATAGAAAAATTATAATACAGTGTCCAACACGTGTTTATGTCTTATATTTTCAATAATTGACGTGTTGTGTGTCTGTGTTATGTTGTATCGGTGTCGTCGTGTTCGTATTTGTGCATCATAGCTTCCACATTATTTAAGAATAGAACTGTTGGGCTAATTGGTTAGGTAGACTTGGTTCCAACAGTCAAATTTTTTATAAATTTGATCATGTTAATATCCCACGGTATTTGATTATAAGGGTAAACTTGGATAAATTTGGTTTACCTTTATAGCTCACATTATAATAACTGGTGATATGACTTTTGTTATCATGGTTTTCTCGTCAGGTTCCCTGGATATGGATTAATTATTTTGTGCGGACGCCGAATGCCATCCGGAGATTAACTAAAATGCACCACGTCACCTCTTGCTCGGTATCGCAGCTCGATGCCGCGGCTCGGTATTGCTGATGTGGTGCATTCTGGTTGGTCTCCGGACGGAATAATTTCTCCTGACTATGGGCCTTATTCGCTTTCTATTTTGCTACTCTCAGCGACCATTACTTTCTAATTAGTTATAGGCTTTGGTTCTATTGAGATATCTTTTAAGGATTATATTTACTTCTTTGGGACTACTTTGACAAATTGTTATTTCAATCTCGTTGCCTCATCCATTTGCCGGTTTTCTTTTTTGCTTTCTGGAGGAAATATGGCCTTTTAATGGCCTTCTGGCATTTTAGTGGTTTATGGGTTGACATGTTTAAAGGCTCTGATTTGCTTGAACTTTCTTATTTTTTGGTTTTCATTTCAATTGTAGTTTGGTTTGTGATTGGTAATACTGGTCCACCTTTAGTTGAACAATTAAATGGTTTGGCTACTCCTTTCTCCTCTATTTTCATTGCTCAACTTGTGAGCGAAGGCTCTTATACGTGAGATTCCTTTTACTTTCTATTACTCTCTTTGAGGTTTGCCATGCAATTTTATTTTTATAGCCACCTGTTTTTTTTTCTTTTCATTTGTATTTTAATTTTTGGTTTTATCAAGAGTAGTATGATTCAGTCTGATATTTTTTGGCCTTATCATGAGTGATGATTTGACTTGATTGAGGCTCAAAGTGGTACGAGCTTTCTTTCCGTCTAGAATTTTTTTCATTGTGGTTCAGTGTGTTATTTAGATGAGAATTTGACTCTTAATAGGACACAATGAACAACAATGATTCATCTAGCCGACCCCACTTATTAAGATAAAGACTTGTTGTCGTTGTTTTTATGGTTGTTGTTGTTGTGGTTCGGTGTGTTGTATAGAGTTATATACTTTTTTCAGTTGATCATCTCCAAGATATGCT